TTTGTTTGTTTGCTCCAAAATGTTACATAATTTTATTAAAACCAGAGAGAAACGCTAAACAGCATCTCATGGGAAAAGGGAAGTCATGAAGTCATAATCTGGTTAAACATGCTGAGTCAGAAAAAAACAGGAACCCTTGTCACCTTGTGGGTGGGCCCTATGTAAAATGATGCCATGTTTTTTTTTTTACTTAACCCCTTAATTTCTAAAGCAGGTGATGTGAATAATATTACCTGTTCATTTCATTTAGAAACATCCTAAGTATTTTTACAGCGCTGTTTTAACATTGTAGAAAAAGATGATCATATTTTAAAATATCAGCATTTTCATATACAGCTGAAATAAACCTTACAAATATTTCCTTCAAAAGCATTTTTTCTTTTGATATTGTCCCACATGAAGAAAATGAATAGCCATCTTTTAATATCTTCTAAGCTGCTTTTTTCACCTTGTTTTCCTGTCTGATGGACTAACATGTCTGTCTGAAAACCAACTGTGACAAAACACCATAGAGAATTCCCTGTGGTGTTAACACACATATAGCAGCAGCCCTAACTGCATTGACTACAGGAAATAATCAGTCTATAATGATTTGATAGCTGCTATGCTGCCCTGTCCTGCCCAGAACCACCGTAGACCCTCAAATTGACCTTGTTATACATTTACTGCTCACCCAAACAAAGAGAACATGCGGCGAACCAGCCAGCAAATTTGCTTCCTAATTGCAAGGTTTCCACTATGAAAAAACAAACACCATCGATCAGCATGATTTCCATGCTGGTCCATGCTAGTGAGTGTTGGTTTGGTGCTGGTTTGGTGCTGGTGTAGCTGGTGGAGCAGCATGACATGGGGCAGCATGTGGCTCAGTGGGCTAGGCCAGCTTTCTTGTAATCAGAAGGTTACTGGTTCAAACCCAGCCTCAGTGTGTCTGCAGATCCTTGAGCAAGGCTCTTAACCCCCAGCTCCCTGGCTGCCCTTCATGGACAGCTTACTCTACAAAGAGCAAGTTGAGGGAGGCATAAAGACAATTTCCCTATGGGGATAATAAAGTATTGATCATTATTATTAAAGCCCATGTTTCATATAGGGCTATCAATCATGCTTCTTATTTCAGTCATATATGACAACGCAGGACGTTCACCATAAGTCAGTGTTTCTTTTTGTTTGATTATCGCCACATTCATACCCGAAACACTTAACATGTAAGACACTCAAGGGAAAAGCTGATAGGAAAAATATAAAAACTTTACACGAACTTTACATTTCAACAATATAGTTGCGGCAGGACACAGGTGGAAAAGGTGAGGATCCGCTGAGCAGCTCCGAGACAAAAAACACTGGGGAAGATACTGGGGAAGATACTGGGGAATACACTGGGGAAGATACTGGGGAATACACTGGGGAAGATACTGGGGAATACACTGGGGAAGATACTGGGGAAAATACTGGGGAAGATACTGGGGAATACACTGGGGAAGATACTGGGAAATACACTGGGGGAAGATACTGGGGAATACACTGGGGAAAATACTGGGGAATACACTGGGGAAGATACTGGGGAANATACTGGGAAATACACTGGGGGAAGATACTGGGGAATACACTGGGGAAAATACTGGGGAATACACTGGGGAAGATACTGGGGAAAATACTGGGAAATACACTGGGGGAAGATACTGGGGAAAACACTGAGGAAGACACTGGGGAAGATACTGGGGAATACACTGGGGAACACACTGGGGAATACACTGGGGAAGATACTGGGGAATACACTGGGGAAGATACTGGGGAATACACTGGGGAATACACTGGGAAGATACTGTGGAAGATACTGTGGAAGACACTGGGGAAGACACTGGGAAGATACTGTGGAAGACACTGGGGAATACACTGGGGGAAGATACTGGGGAAGACAATGGGGAATACACTGGGGAAGACACTGGGAAGATACTGTGGAAGACACTGGGGGAATACACTGGAGAAGATACTGGGGAAGACAATGGGGAATACACTGGGGAATACACTGGGGAAGACAATGGGGAAGACACTGGGGAATACACTGGGGAAGATACTGGGGAATACACTGGGGAAGATACTGGGGAATACACTGGGGAAGACACTGGGGAATACACTGGGGAAGATACTGGGTTATACACTGGGGAATACACAAAATAAAGGGACTGTGAGGTGTCAAAAGACAAATGGGAAAAACAAGAATTAACTACAAGAACCATAAAGCAACACAACTAGGGAGCAACACTGGGAGCAGGACTTGGAAATTGAGTAGAGCTACAAACACACAGTAGCATGAGCACAATGACTGACTAATGAATGGATTGAGGGCAGACATTTAAATATATACAGGAAACCAGGGCAAACAAGGGGCAGGTGTAAATCATAATCAAATCTACCAGTCAATGAAAGTGCAAGATAGGAAGCAACAGGTGGAATCAGTAACAATTAACACAGAAACTAGGAAGCATAGCAAATACTAAGGGTTAAAGCTGGGAAAGACTAGGATTATAAGAATATTAAACCATAATTAAACATGGCAGAAGCAGGATAAACCTAAAACAGGGAAGCAATGAAAAATAATAAGCATTAGGGGAACGGAAAAACCAATAAACATAGAATACAGGGGAAACTGGACTGCAGCCAATCTCAAACTTATGACCAGAGGGCGCAGCCTCTGAGCCACATGCTCAACTTGTTGAGTTACACAGCGGCCCAGGGCACAGGGGAGACACACTAGGGCTGAAAGCTACAAGAGGAAGAGGGGAAGCAGGATGACCAGCGACACCTGCTGGTCAAAACAAAACATGCAGGACAGGGTCAAATGGGCGCCAACCCTGACAAATACGGACTGTGTATTTATTTTGAGTGTCAAATTAAGAGCCTAAATGATTTGGGTAAAATGCTTAAGAGTCCTATATAAAGAAGCTTATTTAACATACATTGAACATGTGCTGCCGGTAAGTGGGGCTTAACGCACGACACGCTGTGTATTATAGTTTTTTAATGTATGGCTGTGGAGGCGAAGAACCACCCGATGTAAAGCGTATTTAAATACATATAATGCGCAGGTTGCAGTGCATTAACCTGCTTGTACCAGGGTTGCCACATATTTGGCTCACACATTTGTACGAGGAGACATCATTCTCACATATATAAATTGAAAATTAGTAGCAGTGCTATTTCGGCATACCACTGTATTTCCATTTGTCAATACTGTATCTTGGGGGACCCTCCCTGCCTGATTTCAAAATACTGGAATAGAATTGCTTTTTAAAATGCTATGAAAAATATTGCATATTGCTGCAAAATTATGTGGAATATGAAAACTTAGATATAGCTCAAGCCTATTATTATTAAACACATATGACCATCTTTAAACTGAAAATAGTATGTTGCTTAGACAGATGTTATTTCAAAATTGCCTGCTACTACAGTCAAAGACCAGTATTTATGAGCAAGCCAAATATACAGCAGAGATATAAGCAAGTAAATGCAGTTCAAACCATATATTAAAAGTTTTTAAAAGTGATTTGCCTGGCCAGCACTATGTGTAAAGTTATAGAAAATTCCTTGATAGCAGAGCAGTGAGATGTTAAAGCAGGATTGAGTCTTTAGGTTACTGAGGGTATATGGGTGATGTCACAAGCTGTCCCAGGGAGGCAGAGGATCGACATAATGAGGTTCAAAACAGAGAGGGTGGTGGATAAAAGAGCCCTTCTGGCTCTGCCCACCCCCAATGTGGCACCAGTCTGTCAGAAGATGGCATCTCTGCTGA